CTGTGGGCCCTTTCTAACTTTCATTTCCATAGCTGCAAAAAGTAGGTAATTTAATGCCTTTCTTGCTTATCTCACAGGGATTTTATGAGGATCACCAGAGATGGGGTATGAGAACATGTTTTGTAAACTGTAAGGGAGTAGGTGACTATATCACACTGTGAGTACAACTGCTGGTATTGTCAGAACTCTCAGATCCTGCACGCTAGCTCTGGAGGCTTGCAGGTGTCCTCTGGGATTCCTGGGCCTCTGCCCCCTCCTTCCTCCACCACTCCTCCAGGTAGAACGTGGGGTTAAAAACCTTTTGAGAATGCTTGACCCACTGGGAAAATAACCAAGGAGTGCATAAATTAGAATCACTTCAATTTCATTACTTGTTAAGGATGAGAGAAAGATGAACAGGTGTTCTAAAAATAACCAGAGCCAAGTGTCACTGAGTACCTACTATGCTTTAGGCACATTCCTGTTATCATTAACCCTCCTAATACTCAGAGAAGGGCACAAATGTGTAAAGAATACACACACATTCAGAGGGGAAAAGATGGGTTTTCAGGGAATGATACAGCCGTTCTTTATCTGAGACTCATCTTACTAAATTGTGTTGCATTTTCTCTACCACAAGCAGAAATGGAAATACACTATCTTGGTTCTTGCATAAGCAGGAAGCCAGAGGGATCTTACAGGCCCAACAACCTTACGCCTTAGCTTAAAAGAGAGACAGCCCAGGGCTGGGCTGAAGGCAGATAGGTCTCTGTGTCCCTTAATCCAGGAGCAGCACCTGGTATCCTAGAAAGAGATCAGGCCATACCGAGACCAAGACACCCGGGCAGGAAGCAGAGTGTGGCACGACGGGAAACCTGAACTCTAGTCCTGGCTTCTGGAACTGCCTGGATAGACTTCCAGGCCCATGGCCATCCTGGGGCTGCTGCTAAAGGGTGTGTGCGTGCGTGCGTGCGCACGTGTCTGGAATGGCCACGTGGGGTGGTGGAAGGAGCTGGGCTGGGAGTCAGGAGACATGAGTGAAGCGTGCCTTAGCCGTTGTTTTTACAACCTTAGAGCAAACCACTTCATCTCTCTGTGCTTCAGTTTCCTCATCTGTAAAATGGGAGACCGGACTAAACACTCTCCATGTTAACATTCAGATTCTGATGGTCAAGGGCCCCTCAGAAAACCAGGCAAAGTGGTTCGCTCTAAGGTTATGAAGACCATGGCCAGGGGGCACCTGACCTCACTCACTGACCGCCCTCCCAATACCAGCAGGGGCTCCCACTCACCCAACCCACTCAGAAGCCAGAGAATGAGGGAGCCCGTGGATGTTGTCTGCACTGAGCAGAGAGTGTGGGTGGGCTGGGTGATGGTCAAGGAGACCCAGGGGAAATGCCTCAGGAGCTCGGGCCCCTTTCCTGTCAGCTCTGGAATACTGCCAGGACAGTGATCTGCCCAGCCTCTCCCCCCTCACAAGGATGGGACCTCAGCTCCTATATCCCCTCCTCCGTTCCTGAGGGAAACCGTCAGGGAACAGGGCCTGCCATGCTGGAGGTGGCCCACGATTGGGGGTGGGGTTAGGCTTTGCATGGAGGGAAAGGGTGGGGGGTGTTAGGCTGTAGCTGGGTGGAGAAGTTTTTGCTTCTTCCTCCCGACACTTTGTAGCAAAGTCTTTCTTCCTCCGTGTTTACTTTTCCCTTCCAGGGTCCCCTTCTGGTACTTTCCCTAGTCCTACTCTGAGGGGCTTTGTCCTATTTCTCAGGGATATCGGCATTCTGACAGAGAGCTCCTCAAGATCAAAAAAGCTTTCTTCAGACCTTAGAAAATGGAGCTGGGCAGGGCACATGCGTGACAGGCAGGGCAGGCTGGAAAGGGCAAGGGATGGGTGAGTGCCTTTCTCTCCTGAGACTGCCGAGACCCCGTGGAACCTAAGCCTTTACCCTGTGCTGATTCTCAAGGAAGTTCAATGTCAGGCCACACAGCCTGGAAGTTCCAGAGGTGGGCCAAGGGACCTGCTCTCCTGCAAAGGCTCCAAATTAAGTCACATCCCTAAAAGGGCTGTTCAGGCAGCAATGCCCAAGAATGGCCGAGCACCAGCTTCAGGCCAGGCACAGGGGGTAGCCAGGGCTCCCCAGGGCCTCCTGACAAGCATCCATTTACACAGGCCTCACTCCTGCGTGAAGGCGAGCGGGAGGTGTGCGCGCTCGTGAAGATGGCCTCCTTTGCCACAGAGATGATCTCGGTGCTGCTGGGCAGGGGCTCCCCGCCAAGCTAAAAGAACCCTGGTTGTTCCCAGATGCCTAAAATCCTTTTCCTTTCACCTGTAATCAGATCAGGATTAAACCCCTCGGGGAAGGAATACGGTGCTTTTTGGAAGAAGCCTAGGATGGGAGGCAGGACCTGGCTGCTTCTGACCCGTTGTACTGTCCTTGCTGGGAAGACTTTTAACTTCACAGCTTCACAGTTCAGTCCAGACATGACTTTCTGTGAAGGGCTCTCACCCTGAGGAAAGGCCCCCAGTCCAGCTGGAGAGCCCCTCTGGGATGGCCTCAGAGCCCCCTCTCCTTCCTGGCTCCTCCTCTCAGACCCAGGCCTGGGCCCAGCTCAGTAAGGCGTGAAGGGGGCCCCCCAGGGAAGCCAGAGGAGCAAGGGCCTTTAAATTATGGAGCAGCTTTCCTAGCCCCTCTTGGAAAGGCCCAGCGCCCCAGCTAAATAATTCACCACCTCAGGAAGACCCAGTGGTTCCTGACACAGCTGAAGTAGGTCAGGCATCAACTTGGCCCTGGGTGGGGGGGCTTGGAGCAGCTCCCCAGCAGCACTAGGAGAGGCTTCAGGCTGGGAAGCAAGGCCTCGCTGGTCCAGACACTGCAGGGAGGCGAGGGGTATAGGCAGGAAGGCATCAACCCCCTCCTCAGGCTGCTGTGCTGCTGGTGCGAACACAGCCACCCATTCCCCTCCTCCCACCCAGACCTCCCTCTGGGGTCCCTGCCACCCTGCCAGGCTCCTCCTCCCTCACAACACCTGGGGGCGTGTTCTCCCTTCATGGGCATGGGGATGCGTGTGTCACCCTAGCCTAGCCTTTAACTTAAGCTGATGCACTCATCAGAACACCTTAGACCCAAATCCCCCAGTGCAGGGCTGGGATTCAGAAAAGGTGAGGCAGTGGGGAGAGAGGGAGACCAGGGCCAGCGACAACTGCTCCCGTTTTGCTCAGAGCAAGACTGGAATGAAACCCTGCCCCTGGGGGCCTCTAGGGCGGCTTCTGTCCTCCCTTTCTAGGCGAAGCTTCAAGCCAAGCTGTGAAAGGTATGGGGTGGGGGGCGCGGCGTAGGCGGAAAAGACAAACAGCAAAGCCATGAACACAGTGCTCCAGCCCTCCAGGAGCTGGAAAGGACTCCAGACCACCGCTTCACCGATGAAGAAACTGAGGCCCCAAATCACAAAACCGGGGCCAGCTGCAGGCGTCCTGACTGGGTTCAGGGCAGTCCAGGGTCATGGCTCCACACGGCTTCCCTGACCTTCATACCCACGTACTCTGGCTTCCAGCAAAACCTCCCCTCAGGAATCAGCCACCACAGGGAGCTCACGGGGAGCCAAGAGGGGGCAGGAGCATCGCCCTTTCTGGGCCAGACTCCTGGGTTCTCCTTCCCTCCAGCACAGCCTCGTTAAGACATACACCAAAGATGCTTCCCAGAGGAGCCCGCCCTCCCACAGTCCTTTTCTGCTAGAGGGCCTGAAAAGGCCACAGGCCAGGAAGGGTCAAGCCAACTAGAGCACAGCACCCAGAGAAAACAAAGGTCCCATCTGGGTGCTTCCTCTGGGTGCACGGAATCTCCATCCATATGCTCAGACCTCGGATGAGGACGAAGTGAATGAATCAAAACCAGGGTGGGCTGGCAGATATGCCCCCGCCGTGGGGTCCTTGGCAACTCCCTTTTTCTCCAGGACTTAAGTCAGACAACAAGGGAAGGAAGGAGAGGCTATGCAAGCCCCAGGGCCCGGGCCCACTTCACCTCTTTCCCCCCAACTCACAACATGTACCCTTTAGCTGTGCCCTCCCGGCGGCCATCTGTGTCCCGTGGAAGCAAGGTCAGAGAGCAGTTACTTTGGATGTCTTTTTATTTTGCATTTCATATCTTATTCAGCTTCACATTCTCACAGGCTCAGCAATTACAACAGCCACCTCGTCTCCCAAGTCTGAAAACGTCAAGACAGCCACAGCTGCGGCCAAAGGCAAAGCACGGATGTGCTCACAAAACAACAAAAAAATTGCACAATTTTTTTCCCTTCATTTTTCTGAAACAAACGCCTGACACAAAGGCTTACTGCTGGAGAATGGAAACCCTTTTCTTCTTCATGCCTCAAACTAAACATTAAACTTATCCGACAAGGCGAACAAGGTCTCTTTAATAATTAATTGCACACACACACGAAAAATCCTTTATGATGCATAAATATTTTGTTACACAGGGTACAAAAATACTTTCACTTTTTGGTTGGTTTCGAAGTTCGGAAAGAATGAGGAGCATGGGCAGGGGTGGGGTGCACTGTGGAGAGGTAAGCAAACCGGGCAGAGAAAGGATTTTCTTAGCAGTTTTTGGCCCCTCTAGGAGGAGGAAGTGGAGGGCCTGGATTCAAAATGAAAAAGAAAACACTACCTCTGTCGGGTGGTCGTTGCTGTTTGGCCTGGAAGCGCGTGGGGGTGGTGGGGGGCCCCGGCTACGGGGTGGAGCCAGCTGCGGGGCTCGGTCCTCACTGAAGCAGGGGGCTGTAGGGGAGGGTGTGGAGAGAGGGACCGGGAATGATGAACCATTGGTGGCCAGGACCTGTTGCTATGGTGACACAATGTGAGAACAAACTGTACACTCACATATACACAAGTTGAAGTGTCTTAATTCATGCCAGAAAACATGCAAAATTAAATGCCTCATTTCTCTGAGGTGGAGCTATGGAAGCAAGTCTGGACCAGAGGTCAGGCCTTGCTCAGTCCCAGTGAGACCTCTGGGCTGGGGCTGGGTATCCCAGCAAGAAGGGCCCCCCCCCCACCCAATCCTCCCGGGAGGCCTTGGCGAGGGGGCTTTGGGGAAAGACAGGCCTGAGGAAGAGGAGAAAGGAAACAGGAAGCAGTCCACTGAGTCAGGCTTAAAATTCACAGTCTTTGGAAGGAAGCAGCAGCTCTCCACAGGCCGCCTGGGGGCAGTGGAAGCTCAGAGCGGCTTCCTCCCCAGCGGGGCAGGGGCTTCAAGCTGCGGTGACAAGACCTGGAGGGAGGGGAGAGAGGTGGCCGTGAGCAGAGGGGTGGCACTGGAGCTGAACCCAGGCCTGGCCCTTGTGACAGGCTGCAAGATGGTTGGCAGGGGGTGCGGTGGGAGAAGGGGAGAACCCAGCCAGAGTGCCTAGTGCGCAAGCTCAGGTGGACGCCTAGCACCAGTGAGCTGCCGGGCTCAGGCAGAGGGAGGAACCGTGGCCCCTGCAGGAAGCCAGGCTCTCGCACACTTTTCCTCCTGGGCCTCTGGGCCAGCACTTACTGAAGAACTAACAGAACTGACGATATTTCCATCCTTGCTGGGCGGTATCCGAAGAAGGGTACCAGCGCACCTGCAAGAGAAGCCAACGTCAGGGGCTAGCTGCGCAGTCCCTTCTCTTGATTGGGGAGCCGTCAGCGTCCCTGCTGGAGTCCTGCTTCTGTCACTGACTGGTAAGACGCCGGGCCAGTTACTCACCTCTAGGCATCGGTTTCTTCATCCTGAAAATGGGAGAGCACCACCTGACCTGCCTCCTCCGCAGGGTCGAGGTTCAAGTGAGAGAAGCCTTACGGAGGGGTTCTATACTCCACTCAGCCCGATGGGAACGTGCCGGCTCGTACCAGGTGGAGTCTCGGCAGTGGGGGCACTGGGCCAGCGATCCGCCCCTCCCCCTGAACTGGGAGAGTGCAGAATGCCTGATGTTGGGAGAATGAACCTAGTAGAGTTTTGCTCGGCTTCTTTCTGTCTCAGGGCCCTCATTGACATACAGGACAGAGATGACTAGGCTGATCCTGGTGGCTGTCCTTAAGGATTAGGGGAGACACAACGTACACACATCTTAGGAACCAAAGTTGCCCTGGTCTCCAAGGGGTACGATTCCCAGACGTTGGTACTGTCTTTGTAGGATTCTCCAAGGAAGCCAGGGCTGAGACCCAGTGGATGCCTACATCCCTTTCCACCCCTCTGTTCCCTCCATTATCAGCCTCCCAAGTCTTAGAGATTTGTAACCTGCCAGCTGAGCCCTCCAGTGGGGGCCTGGCAGCTACTTCAACCCCCAGGCCCTACAGACCAGTAACCCCAGAGCAGGATTCCCAGAGACGGGTCAGGAAGTGACCCGCCCTCCCTTTCTAGGTACAGCATCCCCATGGGCCCGTCGTCTGGGCGGTGAGCTATGCCGGGTGCCACGCCAAGATCACAGGGAGGCCACCTGCCCCAGTTATAGACAGCATGCCTGCCCCGCGGCTGCCTTGGAGTGGTGGCAGAACATGGCACCACAAGACAAGTCAGGGGCAAGGGGCAGAGTGCCCAGAGTCGGGGGGGGGGGCCCGGGGTCCCCTCAGGAAAAGGAAGGGACGGCATGCAAGAGCCAGCGTAGAAAACAAGTACCAGCGGGCCACACAGACCACCCCCCCGACACTGCAGCAGTGGACTCAGTTTCCCACTTGGCTGCCTGGAATCCCCGCCTCTAAGCAAGAAGATAGCGAGCAATGCCAGGTCATCTGGGGGCTGGTGGAAGCTTCCTGAGGACTGCCATGTCTCCTTCAAATTACAGGTGTTTTCATACACCCCAGGACTCTGGCCACCACACGCTCAGCAGCAAGTCAGAGGCTGGTCACCCTAAAATGCAGGACACATGGCATATAGCAGGAGCAGGTCCTAGGCAACCTGACCAATACCAGAATCTTCTCTGGGCTCCGAGGATGCGGCACTGCTCTCACCAGGACACGGCTGACCCTGGGCCGCTCGAACCACCTTGATTAAGCGCCATACTGCACAGAAAACGGTCAAGTGCCTCTTCTTGTCTCTGAGCTGTCCAGCCTCGGAGGCCACTATCTTCTCTCCTGCCTCCGCAACATCTGGAAGCAGTTCCCTCCCCTCTCGGCTGACAGTCGAGGGGGAGGATGCCTCTCCTCCCCTTGGCTGAGCTGTGGGATGCGCTCTCAGCTGGAAGGGTGGCTGGACACAGAGCTCATCCCACAAGAGAGGGACATGGAGGAAACCAGCACAGTGGCTACCAGCCACGCCTGTGACCCAGTCCAGCTCGGGAAACCCCCCGTTAGGCAAGGACGTCCAGCCACGCTGGGTGTCTCGCAGGGCTGGACAAGGGGCGAATGTCGGTTAGCGTGGGAAGGACTCGGAGGCCTCTGACTCTCTCTCTCTCGATGGGGGAAGCTGAGGCTTCCCGCAGCTGCATAAGGGGCTCCATTGGCAAGCCTGCTTCATGGGGTCCCCCACTCTCCCCACTAGGTGCTGCGACTCAGCCTCCAAAGCAGCAGTCTACCCCCAGCCTGAGATGAGGCACCACCTCCTTGGGGAGGAAGTTGAAGAAAGCCCCCATTTCTGAGCTTGGGACCGATGTGCCATCCAGGTGGACAGAACATACCTGAGGGGCTACCTTTCCACTTCCTCAGACACCTGGGATAGGCTGGCAGTCGGGGCTCTAGAGAAGCACTGTCCCTTCCTGCCCCCGCTCAGAACAAGAGCCCCGTAAGGCATAGCAATCAGGGCTAGCACGTCAGGCAGTCAGGCAGTGAGTGCTCGGCCCGCTCCCAGGGACTCCAGGTGTTCACAGGGATTCTGCAGGTCCTGAGAAGCCACCTCATAGGGGCAGGCCCGTGCATCTAGAATGACCCGGTTCCAGGAGGGGCAGCATCAAAACAAAGGGGGGACATGAATATTCAGTCATCTCTCACAGCTTGGGACGGACTGAGAAGATAGGTGGACAGAGGAATCAATCCACATGAGAAGAAACAGGAATAGCCAAGAAATATGGGCGCCTCACTCCTCAGAAAGTCAATTAAAAGAACACTCGGGTTGGCATGTCTACACTTTGACCTTGTCATAGTTGTAGGGGTTTACGATAAGGAAAACCAGCAGGACAGGCGCAAAGGGCGGACAAGGGCGTCCACTGCCGCACGGCCCTAGCAGCACGGAAAACTGCGTGAACAACCTAATGTGGCATCGATAGGGAGCTGGACACCCTTACACAGCAGTGGGTTTGCCAGGAAGCCAGAATGTAGATCTACATTTACTGACAGGAAACAAGGGCCTAATACTTAAGCTTTAAAAAGATTAAATGTATAACTTTTATAAAAGATCCGCATCTATGGATCTTACACACATGCACCCAACCACCTACCAAGCCTAAGGACTCAAAGTAGCCATTTTCGGGGGAGCAGGATAATAAGCGAAGGGAAAAGGGAACCTTATCATGCCCATCATACAGATCAGAAGATAGAGGCAAGGGAGTTCATGTAACATTAAGGTCACCAGGAAGCGGTGAGCCAGTATAAGAGCCACGGTCAGAGACCCCCACATCCTCAGGTAGCCGTAGAAAATGAAGCCCAGTCTGGGAGGACCCTGGGATGCAAGGGAACCCAGAGAACCCCTGCTTTTAGGCATGTGCCAGACCCCAGTGTGCCCCTGCCACCCATACCTCTTGGATGCCTCACCCTCTTAAAGAGAAGATTCTACGAAGAGAACCAGGAGATCGAACAAGATGGCCTCATGCCAAGACAGAGTGGGACTGAGCCATCCCCAAGCCCCTTCCTGCAGGTCTGGGCCCTGTGGCCACACACGGATGCCTCAGCCAAGGCTGGGCTAGTGACAGAGGGCATGCAGTTGGGGTGTGCATGCTGGGATAGAGTAAGGAAGGACTGCTTTTCATCCCCTTTTGCTACTACCTTCTCTCCAAGTCACCTCCCTGCCTACAAGCACAGAAAGTCAGTTCTGTTGTTCCTCTGGGGTCAGAATAATGCCCTCAGGATCAATAGCATCCACTTTCCTCATTGAGGATTTTCAGCCTCCACTTCTGGGCAACACTGTCAGGGGACAAGGAGGGAGCTCTTGCAAGGGGAGAACACTGGAAAATGTACTCTCCTGCTTACGAGTGCATCTGGTCCAGACAGGGTAGTTTACTGCTATGGAGACAGACGTCCAGAGAAGTCGAGTAGCAGGGACAGAACTAGTTACTACCTGGTCCAATCTCTTGTTGTTAGCCTTCCTCCTGAAAAAATGCCATTATCCTTTGAAGTGGCCTTTATTCCCTTCCCAGGGAGGCCAGAGACAGGAAGTGAGACCCAATCAGGCTGCTCCAGCCTTCAGGGAGGCCCCAGGGGGCACTAGACAATAATGATAATAAATAGTAACTATGATAACCGGCACTTCTCTAGCTCTCCCTCTATACTAACATGCGGAAAAACAAACACTAATAAAGTAGGTATGATTATCACCATTCCAAAGAAATGGAGACACAGAGAGGTTAAGTAACTTGCCCAAGGTCACACAGGTGTTGAAAGAGCCAGGATTTGGACTGAGGTAGCCTGACTGGAGTTGGGAGAGCCCCTGGGCATGGATAGGGCCGGAAGAAGCTGGAAAGGAAGGCAACCGGAGGGCACAGAGCCCTGCAATATGGAGTTTAAGGAAAGGTCGTCGTTTGCCCCTCCCAGCCAGCTGGGGAGCCACCCAAAGAAAGGGCAGAGGCGCCTCACCTTACGAACCTGACGTACCGTCTCTGGCTCCCAAACTCTGCCCACCATTGTCATGGCCGAGCATCTCAGAGCAGATGGGGTAGGACTGCTCCACCTGATCGGGTCTTGCCCTCTCATTTCACAGAGGACACACACGGACGCCCTGAGGTGAAGTCACTTGAGAAAGGCCAGGTAGCTAAATGGTGGCAAAGCTGGGATCGCAGGCAAGGAGGCCAGCAAGGCCTCGCAGGGCTGCTGCAGTGAAAGTCCCTGCTTGGCCAGGAGCTCTCCTGCCCGCCTTCCACACGCTGCCAGGTCACAGAGGACAAGCACTGTCTTCCGGGCTCACCGCAGAACCTGGTCTGTGGTAAATACCCAAACATTTCCCTTTAGCGAAGGATCTTTACCACCTTCCTATCCCCTGGTCAATTTTCCAAGTGCCACGTCTAACCACACTTCTGCCCTCAGAACGATCTAACGTGGCCGTGGCCAAGGAGAACTGCCCTGCTGAAGGAAACTGCCTGCAAGGGTAGTAGCAGGGGGGGAGTCTGTACCTTCCACCTTGGGACTGGGTGGACCCAGATGTCACTAAGCCCTCCAGAGGACCGGAGACAGACATGCACTCAGCCCTCCCTCGGGCAGCACACCCAGCCTCTCCCACCTCAGCTTCTGGTTCCTGTGAACTCTCCCCTTCCTGGCTTCGCACGTCCTGTTCCTCCTCCTGCCCTACTGTCCTGGCCGGGCCCCCTCCGGCCACAGCAGGGCGGGCCTGGCCCGCGGTCGCCCTTCCCCAGCCTCAGCTCTTGCTGGGTCTACTGATCCCAGGCCAAAGCGGGCTTGCCGTTGCGCCTCAGCCTCCCTGGGCTGCTGGTGGCTCCCGGTCCGGGTGCCCTGCCGCGTGTCCTGTCACGGCCTCAGGGAGGCCCAGGCCCGAACGGACCACGGCTCGCCGGCCCCTCGGGCACTTGCCACGGCACTCGGCAAGCACAAAGCCCCGCAGAGCCTGGGGCCCTCCCCACCCGTCCCCCCCCACCCAGAAGGGATCGTTCCCTCCTTCCCGCCCCAGTGCAGGTTCACCGCACAGCGTCCGGGCTTCGAGAGAACCAGCGCACACACGGAGCCCTCAGGACGTGCCCGCTGCGTACCAACACTTCACGGGCTGTTAACGCCTAATTCCCCCAACAACCCTGAGGCACAGAGTACGGTTCTCATCCTTCCAGGCAGTAAAAAAGTCAAGACACAGAAACCTTTAAGAGCTTTCTGAAGTTTATAAAGACTGGAGAGGCAGAGGCAGGGGGCCTGGCTCCAGAGGCCAGACTCAGGTTGGGACCGCAATCGGGGCTCTGTCAGCGCGGGCAGAACGCAGCACAGTGCCCGGCCGCAGGTGCTCAGTGGGTGGTGGGACCACGCTGGGTCTCTCTCAACACTCACACTCCGCCGCCGCCAATCCTCCACGTGGCTAATCCTCGCCCTCCCCTCTGTCTGAGCCCAAACCCTCAAGATAAGGTCATGGAAGACAGTAGTCCTGCTGCGGCTCTGGAGGCATGAGTGTCCCACGGGCCACCCAGGAACAAAGTCGGGCCAACTTAGAGCCTCCTTTGTCCCCTACCCGCCTCTCCCCCAGAGGGGCTTACCTGAGCGTGGAGGGCGGCGGCGGCAGCTGGGTAGGTGAATGCAGCAGGTGAGATGGCTGGGGTCAGCTCTGTGGTGTACAGAGGGTAGGGGGCCCAGGCCTCTGGGGACGCGGGGATCAGAGCAGCCCCCATAAGGTCATCTGCAACGGGAGACAACAGTCCCCCACTGTCAGAGCACGGGTCTCCCCTTCCACTACCCCATTCCAAACAGAGAAGGGGACCTGTCACTATGGTTGAAGCGTAAGCTCCCTGCTGAGGCCAGACTTCCCTCAAGGACCCCAAGACCAGGAAAACAAGCCCTGTTAACTTGACCCGGCATGGTGAGCATTCTCTCTGCTTCAAGAAGCCCTCGGATGGGCCCCTGCCCATCTCAACCAAGAGAACTCAGAGAAGGCTTCAGGGGAGCTGGGTGATACGGACAGCTCAGGAGCTCAGTCTGTCTGCAGTCCAGGGGTGGAAGGCACCCTAGAGAGAGGTGGCTGTGGACAGAAGAAGCCTCCTGGCAAGGACTGATTCCCTCAATGACAATCTCGATGTCTTCCCTCCGTATGCAACTCTGCTCAGGTCCCCAGCTTGGGCCAAGTAAAAGGACAGCAGACAACAGACGACAACTCTGAGCACCACTCACAGGGGTCCCGTGCGATGAAGTGTGCTCCTAGGGCAGGGTGAGCATTGGTGGGATTAGGTGTAGCCATTAGCTTGTTCTTGGCCATCTTGGTGTTGGCTTTGGCAAACTCTAGCCTCAGGGTCTGCGGGTTCTCAGGATCAAAGCGAATACCCTACAAGAGAAGGAAAAGAAAGGAAGGAAAAGACTTTGTAGGACCCAGACTGTCCACTGCAATGGGTACAGAGGGGCCCCAGAAAAGAGCTCGCCTAGGGGGCACCTGGGTGGCACAGTCAGTTGAGCGAATGACTCTTGATTTCGGCTCAGGTTGTGATCTCAGCGTCCTGGGACCAAGCCCTGAGTTGCGCTCCCTGCTCTGCAGGGAATCTGCTTGTCTCCTCTCCCTCTGGCCCTCCCCCTGCTTGTGCTCTCTCTCAAATAAATCTGAAAAAAACAAAAACAAAAAAATGATCTTGCCTAAAAGCCTCACCCATGCAGCAGGGGACAACACAGAGGACAGACTGCTTGGACCTCGTGAGTAGTGGCATTTGACCCAGACAGTAGAGCCAGGGACTTGGCCTCGGAATGGCTGGGAAATCAGGCACATCTGCAGGCCCTTTCTTGGGGGGGGCATGGAGTGGGGCGAGGTTTGCAGGAGGCAGGACAGGAATACTTCGTTGCCTAGAGGTCTGTGGGTCGGGCAAAACCTTGTTTGTCTACTCACGTTCAATGCATTCTTGGCTGCTTCTGCTCCTGCTCGGCTGTCAAAGATCACAAAACCAACAGGCTGGAAGGGAAAGGAGAGAACACCCTTGCATGTCTCCCAACATTCCACCTTTCCCTCAAAAATAAAACAAAAAACAGCTTCTTGCCTATATCCTCCCTATGTTTAGCTGCAACAGGAGAAGTTTCTCATGCACCAGAAGTCTCCCATCCAGGTTCCAATTGTGGGAAAGGGTGTCAACGGAGCTTTCTCTCACCACGTTAAACATCACCCTCTCGGTAAATCTTTTTTTTTTTTTTTAATGCACGCAGGTCGGGGTGCCTGGGCAGCTCAGATGGTTAAGCATCTGCCTTCGGCTCAGGTCACGATTCCGGGGTCCTGGGATCAAGCCCCGCATCAGGCTCCCTGCTCTGCAGGAAGCCTGCTTCTCCCTCTCCCACTCCCCATGCTGTGTTCTCTCTCTGGCTGTCTCTCTCTCTGTCAAATAAAATCTTTAAGCAAAAAAATAAAAATAAAAATAAATGCATGCAGGTAATTAAGAGGAAGTTCCAGTGTTTTCCCCAGCAAGAAAGGGGATACCAATGTATCAAGGACATGAGAAGGCTCCAGATTCAATCAAGGGGCAACAGGTTCAAGACTTCTCCAACTTCATTCTGGCAAGTTCACTCCAGACCCCAAATGGCCCCCACAGGACCAGAGTGCCAGGTGCCAGAGCACAGCCACCACATGTGTGCTCTTCAGCGCTGGGGCCAGGCTGTGGTTTCTCAAAAGCCAGAGGGGGAGTCCCAGGAGCTGACTGGTAAGGACAGGGGAGCTGCGGAGGCCACTCTTACACCAGCCCAGCACAGAAACGGGATGAGAGGGAGCAGGTCTCAGCTGCCAGATGCCTCAAGATGAGGAAAAAGGCAGCAGGCTCAGGTCCAAGTTTAGCAGTCAGTCTGGGCTGGGAGGAAAAAAAACTTTGGAGAGAAATTACCTGTCTCGATGTGAGCTTGATCAGGGACCCTTCATAGCCCTGTAGAGAGAGAGGTGGTCATCAAGGGGAAGGTCAGAAGCCGCTGTTGTGCTAACCCAGGCCCCCTCCTCCAGCTCCCAGCAGCACCATTCTCACACTCTCTGCCCCCACCCCCCGCAACATCCACCACCCTGACCTCCACCACTGATGTGCACCCTCTGCCCTTGTGTTCCCTATCACATGGTCTAGCACACAGGGCGGGCATCATGTGGCAGCATTCATCATTTCATGCGTAAATTCCCGCTTGCTCTGCTAACTTGTCATCTGGTAGGACAGACCCTACCTTGTAAAGTTTTCTCAAAACTTAAACTGAAAAGCCTACACTGAATCACAAAGATTCCTTATATGGTCAAGTCAGCTCAGATTCTCTCTTGTTTCCACTTTACAGATGAGGAAAGAGAGGCTCAGAAAGGGCTAAGCAATCGGCGGAGAGCAACACGTGAATGAGCAGAACCATGACAGGAAGCCAGGTCTGCGATCACCGTTTCTGATACACTCTCCTCTGTCTTTCCTACTGCCCTATCCAGGTCAGAGTCATTCCTGCTGCTTCTGCTCCAGCCTAGGCTCTGCCCACGGGTGGCTGGGTCCAGACTCACCTTGAACGGCCGGAAGAGCAGGTAGAGTTCTCTGGGTTTAATGTCCACAGGGAGGCCACTGACGAACAGTGTCCGGACCTGGGGACAGAGACCACAGTAGACAGGGATAACGGCTCTTCCTTCAGGAAGGAACTGGAATCCTTCCAGAGGGGAAGGAGGAATTATGAATATCCTGGGCTTCCTTTAGGAAGAGGGCTGAGACAAATGAACACTCAGGAGTTTCACAGCATTTCACTTTTCAAAGCCCTTTCTGTACACTTTGCTTTCTCTGCGTTCACCCCACAGGTGATTCAACAAGCACCTGCTGAGCACCTCTGTACACAGACCCAACAGCGGCTGGAGGAGAGAGCCCTATGTGATAAGCACACAGATCAAGGATCCCTGAGACTTCAAGAAAGCTAGGGTGTCTTACCCCCAACATTAGACAAGTCAAAATGTATACAGTTTTCAGAAGATACCAACAGACCCCTGGTTGAGAGGCTCTGCCTGGTCTACAGAAGACACAAGGATGTAAACGGATCCTAAGTCTTAAGTCATGCGACACCCTGCAGTGATTTCAACGGAGGACCTGGCATGCTCTCACATCCATCTCCTAGTGCTTCCTACACTAGATGGAGGTTCTTCAATGGCAGGGACTATGTTGTATCCTTGCCTCTATGCCCCGTTCTTAGCATGGTGCTGTATTAAACGTTTACTGAATAAGGGACCTGGTTAAGGAGTCAGAGAGGGAAAGTTACGCTGGGTTTTCAAGAATGAGTAGGATCTTACCAGCTTCAAGTGAGGCAGACGGTGCTATAAGTTACGAGCCTTGCCCTCAACATGGTTACAAGTCAGTGATAAAGCCAGATCTAGACACCAGGTGTCCATCCTGTGACTCTGACCAAACCTGACCTCCTGAACCAGGGCTGAAGTCCCTGAGAGGGCTGGCAGGCACTTGACGGTGCCACTGTTGGTTACATGTTGCTGGCACCAGATGCTCAAGTAGCAAGGCCAGATCGGCCAATAATTAGAATGGGGAGGGAGGATTTTTCCATTGTTTAGGTCCATAAAAAATACATATTAAAACCGTGGCCGAGGCATGAAAAACCTAAATGAATAGAGCTTCCCTATACACTCGACTCCTGATTTCAAAAAGTTGCATCTCAGGGTGCCTGGGTGGCTCAGTCGGTTAAGCGTCTGCCCTCAGCTCAGGTCATGGTCTCAGGGTCCTGGGATTGAGCCCCGCGTAGGGCTCCCTGCTTCTTGGGGAGCCTGCTTCTCCCTCTGCCTCTCTCTCTCTCTCTCTCATGAATAAATAAATGAAATCTTAAAAAAAAAAAACTCTTAAAAAAAAAAGTTGCATCTCATACCATCAAGCCAAGCTAAGTCTTCTCAACTCATCCCTACCAGTATAAGAAAAAGCTCATGTGCCTCAGCCACCCCCACCCCCCATGCGGCCATTCCTGACAGCATTTAGATGCCCTACGGTGGCCACATCCCCTTCTCCAGAGGCACCAAAGAATTTCCTCCATGCTCCAGTGATGGCCTCCTGAACCCAGGCAACAGCCCTTCCAATGGCTTAAATCAAGAACCTGAGCAGCCAGGCAAAGTTATACCCAATGCAGGCAGGCACACAGACAGACAGACAGACACACCCCCAATGAATACCCAGATCTCAACAACAGAGCCAGGAATGGCAAAGGAAACCAGCCCCGATAGCTGTTGGTAACCGGCGTCACCAGCCCCGCCCACACCAAGAATGGCTCCCAGCCCACGGCTGATAAAAGAATGGGTGAGGACAAACTTCTCTCGAATAGGTTTTTACCAAGAAGCATACCAGGCAGAATCCCTCGCAATTCAGGATGCATCTTCCCCCTCTGGCCATGCTTCTCCCTCCCCAGACATGCCTCTGCTTCCAGGCGCGGGGTGAGGGTTCTGCACATTTCACTTCCCTGTGTACGCAGCTCTCAGGCATGGCCCTGTTTCCAGAGGAACCTGGGAAGAACTGGACAGCCCAAGCTCCTGGCAGAGTGAACCCAGCTCCTGGACTCCAAAGAACAACGGTCCTCTACACCCCTCTGCCCTTTGATTAGAGGGCCTTTAATTTACACGTAAGCCCTCAAACACAAGTGATATGCTCAGGTCACACAGTTTGTTCTTAAAAGGCAGCAGACCTGGGACTCAAAACCCAGGTCTTGACTACTCGTCCAGGCTGCTTTTGGGTGCCAGGACTTGGACACCCAGCCCACCCCTCAAAGATGGCTTGAAAGTGTGCAAGCCCAGCCAGGGCCGTGCTGGATGGACCTGGATCAGTACTACTCCCTCCTCCCAGGGATGTGGTTTTGGTCCAAGACACGGAGCCAGAGCGGCCCCACAGAAACCTCTGCCTCAGTTCTCCCCAGGGGCCACCCATTTCACCCAGGCTAATTTTAAACCCTTCCTCAAATGGCTCCTTTCTGGCCAGACCTCCCCAGAGGCCCCCTTAAATAGCAAGTTCTCAGCACAAAATTTCCTGCTTGGGCTGGGGGTGGGGTTGAGGGTGAGTATGGGGGAGCTTCCCCTCATTCCCAGCTCGGATCCTTGTTTCCAGCCTTCCCTATGGGCCAGATGACCCTTTTCCTCTGTTCCATCTTTTAGGTTCTACAGTGTCCAAAATGCTACCATCTGGCTAACGCCCTGTCTTGGGAAACAAGCTGAGATCAGGCAGTTATGGATCAGGTGGTGGGGTCCCTATCCGCCAGGTCACAGGAAGCTTAACCCGAATACTCTCCTTGGTCCTTACTTGATCCTAGTCTCGCCGGCAGATGGTGTGCCCTCTGCCTATCCCCTTGTGCAGATAGGGAAACTGAGGCCCAGAAAGGGCTCATGCAGCTTAGCTCAGAAGGGAGCCAAGCTGGGTAAGACCCAGGCACCCTGACTTAGCCATCTGTGCCACCAGCAATCCATCTTGCCGTGGGGACAGAGGGAGTGGCACCGAGGTAGCCTCGTGAGCCCCATGGGTGGGGAAAGAGCTGCCCCGTGTCAGTTTCCTCCAGGCGCTTGTTTAGGATGCTGGGGTGATGGGGGAAGAGCAAGAAGGAACCACAGGTGGAAGGAGGCGTAAGCCTAGCCAGCTGCTCAGCTACACCTGGAGAGGACAAGAGGCTGCAGAGACCAATCCCCCTCCCGCTTCCAACTCCATCCGGGCCTGCCCCCCCACTGCCCCGACAAGCACCCCCACAAGCTTGTCTCAAGGCAGCTGCTCGTGCTGCCCCTCAGCGCACCCCTTCCTCATTCCGTAACTGAAGGGCACTCATCTTTCGGGTCCCTCTGTTTCCTCACTCCCCCTTCCTTCCTCTGAAGTCTTACGTGGCCAGGACGCCCTGCCTTCTATTGTTCCCACAGTCTAAACTTACCCCCTCCACCTGGACTCTATAAAAGCCCAGACACAGGAGCCAAGGCTCAAAACCTTCCTATCCCTCACTATGCCTAGAGTCAGGCCTCCGCATTTGAACTACTTGGGGAAGCGGTTTCATCTCTCCAGATCTCAGTTCCTTCGTCTGTACAACGCAGATACCATCTACCTCCAAGATGAAGAGCTCACTTTGCTCTATGCCCAGCACAGAGGAGAGGCTCAACGAAAGGCTGGTTCACTTAGGGCTCCTGTAATCACAGCACTGACCTACACAAAATCCTCCCCTATCAGGTACCATGAGCCATTTATTTATAAAGTTGCCTAGTGAGCCTGGATTGGGTCCAAGTCAGTCTGGAGCTGGGAATGCAGGTGAGTTAACCATAAGTAGTCACTGGATTCTTTAGTGTTCCTCTTCCTTAGGGAGGGAATGGCCAAGGTGGAAGGCACCATAGAGACCAGCTAGTTCAACACTCTCACGCTGCAGATGAGGGAACCGAGGCTCAAGATAGGAAGGTGACAGAGCAAGCTGACAGCACAGGGCGCCTGGGTGGCTCAGATGGTCGAGCGTCTGCCTTCGGCTCAGGTCATGATCCCAGGGTCCTGGGATCGAGTCCCACATCGGGCTCCCTGCTCGGCGGGGAGCCTGCTTCTCCCTCTGCCTCTGCCTCTCTCTCTCTCTGACTCTCATGAATAAATAAATAAAACATTAAAAAAAAAGCTGACAGCACAGTCAGACCCTTTAGGGGACAGCAGGGACAGAGACGTACGGTGACTTCTCCAAGGTCTTGCCTCCTAGTCCTGGGTCCCAGACTCGCACTGGGTGCCCCTCCCCTTCCACGCCACCACTGACGCCAGCCTCATGGCAATAGGGTGCACCATTCAGGAAAGAGGCTGGGTACAGACAAGGATTAAGGCACCAACTGCGGGGTGATGCCAAGCTAGAAAGATCAACCAAAGCACCCATGTCCTCCCTACTCTGTGCTCAGTACAGGAATTCAACACAAAAACGTTTTTAAGTATTTGAAGAAAACAGAAGGGGCAGTTCACACAATTCCAGGCTGCTAGAAGGCACCAACCTTGTTGCCTGAGCCCTTCTCCTTCCATACACTCACCCTTTCTCCAGAAGTATCCAGACAACAAAAGGGATTATCTCCCCTGTCCTGAAACGTCGAAGGCAACAACAGTCCTTCTAAGATGGTCATTTTTATGGCAAGTACCGGTGGACGGTGCTGGACCACAGCCACATCCTCAGTCCAGGTGGAAGGTAAGTTTGGAACAGGGTAGGGAGTATTAAGGGAGAAGCGGAGAAAGTATGGAGAATCTTTAGAAGTCAGTGAAAGAAGAAACATGTTGAGGAACAGCTCTTCCAGTGGAACCTGCTAGAACTACCATGTTGACATGGACAAGGAACTTGGCCACAGAGGTGTGCCCATAAAGGACACTGCAGCCTTCATGATGGTCAGGAGTAGACTTGACCTTGCTGGAGGTCCCAGCCAGCCCCAGGCCTGCCTAGAGGAACCAAACGGCCTTTAGCACAACTGTGTCCCCTGTCCAGGAGGCTTTGGGGGCTCCTGAGGCTGGTCTTCCCTTACGCAGGTCCTGTTGCCTGACCTCCCCCTGAGTTGCTGGGAGCAAAGGGTCGAGGAGGTCCAGTCTCATTTAAGTCCATGCCACAGGCTATCACAGGAGGTCAGACTTCCTGAGG